TCTTTGAATTCTGCCAACAATTCTTCTCTAAGTGGTTTGTCTTCTTACAAATGCCACAAGGTGGAAATTTTCCTTTTATCGACAAATCACCTTGGTTTCCATCAGATTTTACCTCTCCAGATTTATCCAACCAGACTTTTCTACTTTCCTTTTGATTTTTGAATTTATGCCTTGCTTGAAAGGCATTTTCTACTATCCCTTCACTTCTCATAGTGACCCGTTGCTCTTGGACTTGCAATTTGGAGATTAGTTCGGCTATTGTAAGAGTAGTCAAGTCACAAGACTCTTCAATAGCTGAGATTTTTTATTTAAACTTGTCTGGAAGGCTAATCAAGATCTTCTCTACAACTTTCTGATCTGGAAAGGTTTCACCAAGTATTCTTATTTGGTTCACAATCTCCATCAGCTTTGAACAATATTCTTTCACACTGAGTCTTTCATCTTCAAAAGCTCAAACTCTCTCTTCAATGCTAAGAGTCTAACAGACTTTATTCTACTGGTGCCTTCAAACTCCTCTTTTAACTTATCCCAAGCCTCTTTGGCTGTTTCACAAGTCATAATCCTCGTAAACATCACGTCTGTAAGACTTGGATGTCTGCAAGTGAGAGCTCGTGGGATCTAGTCACCAACTCATCATACTTCTTAATTTCATTGAGAGTTGCATTAACTCTCAATGGACAACAGGTTCTCCAAGCTCAACAACTTCCCATAAATTGAGAGCCTTTAGATAAGCCTTCATTTTGATGGCCCATATGTGATAATTCTCTCCGATAAAAGTCGAAGGACCTGTCGTTGGTTGATTTTCAGGTGCCATAAATTTTTTCAGCAAGCAAATTCAAGAAAGAACATAAAATAGATGAGCGAAACAAACAAAATTTGATTCAAATCCCTTAGGAAGTAGGCTCTGATACCATGTTACAACGAAAAGGAAGAAGAACTTCAGGTCTACAAGGTGTAAACAATAGGAAATCGCAGCTGTAAATTGCTACTGAAAATCTGAAAGTGAAGAAGAAGGCTTAAGTTTTCTTGAGTTCAATTTTTTTATAAAGTGTGAGAATTACAACCACATAATAAGCAAAATATCTCACACCAAATTATGTACCTATGTGGCTCACTAACCACCACTCATTTTAAATCAAGACTAACATATCTACTACAAAATATCTCCAACCTAGGAGTTTCTAGACAAATTCTTACTTTTCAAACATATCTAATACAAAAATATCTCCAATCTAGGAGTTTCTAGACAAATCTTAATTTTCTAACAAAACTCATTTAAGTTTACAGAAGAGTCAACTTCAAAAAAGTATATCTACTAGAATAGGAAAAGTTACGTGGCCTATAACCTATAAAATTAAAGTTGTTTCATTATAGTTTCCAACGCAATAATTCATCAGTCAAGCCGATATTTTTGTAAGAAGTTATGCCTATTTTACTGACATTGCCATGTTGCACGCCGGTTGCGTGCCCAAGCTATCAGCTGTGCTATAGTTCACTGACGGCAGTGCTACTGCCTTGATGCGCATCGGGTGTGTGTTATGTACCCAATCTTCAGCAAACTCATAATGGTATTCCAATTACACAATAGCAATTCTGGGAAATAGCAATAATTAATCAACTAAATTAAACAACAACAAGAACTAGAAAGAGATGAGAAGCCAGATACTCAGAAAGGGGACGAGGGAACATAGACTCTTCATAACAATTTTCATAACCCGTTCTTTCTCATCCTTGGTCCTTTTAGCTAGTTGTTAATTGGGTCTGGGTCCCAAATCAACCCTGGTAAAGGCCTTCCAATTTTGTTGCTTCTTTTCGGCCCAATAACTAGTTGTGTGGCCTTGGGCCGAGGCTGGTTCATAACAGTGTGTGCACAAGACGTATCTGTGCGACAGCGCGCACATCATTTTTTTTTTTGCGGATAAGGTGTGTCTGATCATTGATTCAAGTGGTCAGGAATTATTCAGAATTAAAATACAGTAAAAAAAGTATTTCCTTGAATCCGATGGGGGAAGAACATATAGCTTTACCAAGTGAGTCCACTGTTGCAGAAACGGTTGGGTCACTTCCACCACCAGGATCTTTTGTATATTCAGAAAAATGAGCTACCGTAAAGGTTTACCTCCACTTGAAGAGGAACTCCGAAGTTGTGAGGCATATCAATTTGGTATGCAAACAAGATTATGATTCACAAAATCAACTTGGTGAGCAACTTAACAATTGCAGCTGGTTCTTTTTGAAATTTAACAGAAGTCCTTATTTCACTATATCAGAATTACATGTATATATAGACGAGAAAGAATCTGCAGAATCTTCTTCTTTATAGGATTTTAGTTTAAATTATTTGCTTTCTGTGAATAAGATGTGGTGTTAAAACCTATCTCTACCTATCTTCCTATTTCAATCATGTTAAATTTATATTTCTACCACATTTGTGTAAGGATTTTTGTTTGTTACCACTCGGTGTCGGATAAGTCCCGATTATTTTGGAATTTGAAAAGTTTCATCTGCCTATGAAAAACGGTTCCATTTGAGGATTTAAAAACAGAATCACTAGTTAAACAACTTTGTTCGTTAGTTACGTGGATAAAAAGATCATTTTAATTGTTGGTAAAGTCACAACGCTGTCTTTATAAGATAAAGTTCTAAGGTGAAGCACAGAAAATTATATATGTTAAATTAAAGCAATTAAACAGCTTGGGACCCAACAAATTATAATAAGTTTAACTAGCTAGTTGTTGTATCCAACAAGTTGATGTGACACCATTAGCTAAAAGACATTCCAATATAAAAACACCATAAATTTGATATCATTACTTTGTATTATCAATTCTTGTCATAGTTATGGGAAGAAATTGCAATTTCTGTTTGCTCTTGCAGTTTTCATTATGCTTCATCACCATATTACTTCACTTGCTAATATTGACACTGATAAAGCTGCTCTTCTTGCACTGAAATCTCACATTTCTTTTGATCCTAACAACATCCTAGCAACAATTAATTCCTAGTTGTTGGTTTACTTTGACACTAATTTTCTTTCTATGTCTTCATTTTCTTGGACTCATCAACCATTATCTTGACAATTATATATTCACTGCTTGATTAATCAATTATAAATTACAAGAAAACAAGACTACTAAAAATGCTCTGACAATTCCCATGAATTCATATTTTTCTAAGAAAAATGTGTTATTTTTATCTGCTTTAGCACATAAAAATCTCTTTCTTTATCACATTAGAAGTTATTTCTGTTATCACATAAAAATAGTGACATTCGCCTTCTTGTGATATATGTTTCAAGTTGTTTCTAAATAGAGCTAGAGTTTTAGTTACAGATTCGAAAGAACTCAATATAGATTAATGAAAAACTATATATTTATGTTAATAAATCCAGTTAATATGTATAAATAATTTAGGGAAAAGGGGCAAATTTTAGTTATGAACTATCGAAACTTTCTTGTTTAGATAATTTAGAAATTGATTGATTTAGTTAATAGTTATTCATAAGGTTTATGTAAGAAGGATACTTAATTAATTTCATCGATTTATTTCATGTTGACTTGGCTGTGCATTTTAGGTCAACTAGTACTATTGTCATTTTACATATTAATGAGTTATTACCAAGAAAAAGTTTGAGTGTACTTAGCTTTTTCTACACATTTTTTTGACTTTATGGGTTAATGCTTAATAAGGTTCTCCAATGCCATAAGTGGTGCACTAATACAACTTTGATTACCAAAAGTTGGCACTCTTAAGTCTTAACCAATCCAATAAATTTGACATCATTAACTAGGCCATTCCTTTGCGATATCAATTCATTTAGAACATAAAAATATCTTTCTTTTTAACGTTAGGGTTTATTTCTATTATCACATAAAAATAGAGAAATTCGTCTTCTTGTGATGTTTCAAGTAGTTTCTAAACAGAGTTAGAGTTCTAGTTACACGTTCAAAAGAGAACTCAATATAGATTAACGAAAAACTCTATATTTATGTTAATAAATCCAGTTAATATGTACAAATAATTTAGGGAAAGGGGGTAAATGAGTTATTACCAAGAAAAAGTTTGAGTGTACTTAGCTTTTTCTACACATTTTTTTGACTTTATGGGTTAATGCTTAATAAGGTTCTCCAATGCCATAAGTGGTGCACTAATACAACTTTGATTACCAAAAGTTGGCACTCTTAAGTCTTAACCAATCCAATAAATTTGACATCATTAACTAGGCCATTCCTTTGCGATATCAATTCATTTAGAACATAAAAATATCTTTCTTTTTAACGTTAGGGTTTATTTCTATTATCACATAAAAATAGAGAAATTCGTCTTCTTGTGATGTTTCAAGTAGTTTCTAAACAGAGTTAGAGTTCTAGTTACACGTTCAAAAGAGAACTCAATATAGATTAACGAAAAACTCTATATTTATGTTAATAAATCCAGTTAATATGTACAAATAATTTAGGGAAAGGGGGTAAATGAGTTATTACCAAGAAAAAGTTTAGGTCAACTAGTACTATTGTCATTTTACATATTAATGAGTTATTACCAAGAAAAAGTTTGAGTGTACTTAGCTTTTTCTACACATTTTTTTGACTTTATGGGTTAATGCTTAATAAGGTTCTCCAATGCCATAAGTGGTGCACTAATACAACTTTGATTACCTAAAGTTGGCACTCTTAAGTCTTAACCAATCCAATAAATTTGACATCATTAAAATGATTTTTTTTTAATTGAAATATATTTGAAATTTAAAAAATAAGAAAATTTAATATATATTTTTTTTGAATGGGGAGGGTCGGGCACTACGTAATCTTGTATGTAAGATAATATAATGTTTTAGTTTTAATGATTGATAAGTTTTAAGTATTATTTTATAAATTTCATGATATTAAATTCCCACGCGAGGTGCGAATAATTTTACTTGTTATTTTAATGAATTTGATATGATTAAATAGGTCTTCTAACAGCATTGCTTTGCATTATCAATTCTTCTTGCCATAGTTATGGACACAAGTTATACTCTCCTCTTTGCTCAACTTTCAATTTTCATTCTGCTTCTTAACCATACTTCACTTGCTAATATTAGCACTGATGGAGCTGCTCTTCTTGCACTTAAATCACACATTTCTTCTCATCCTAACAACATCTTAGCAAGCAACTGGTCTTCTTCAACCTCGGTTTGCAGCTGGATTGGAATCACTTGCAGCTCCCGCCACCATCGAGTCACTGCTTTAGACATTTCTAGCATGCAACTTCATGGTACCATTACTCCACACCTTGGAAACCTCTCATTTCTTGTTTCCCTCAACATCAGTAATAACGCTTTTCATGGAGATTTGCCACAAGAGTTGGCTCGTTTGCAGAGGTTGAAAGTGATTGATGTCACAAGCAATAACTTCACCGGAGAATTTCCGTCATTTTTAAGTTTGTTACCAAATTTACACATTATGTACCTCTGGAGAAACCAATTTTCAGGTAAAATTCCATCCTCCCTTTCCAATCTGACAAAACTGCAAGTGTTGTCAATACAGAACAATTTTCTCCAAGGAGAGATCCCTCGGGAACTCGGTCATCTTCGTTACCTGAGTATCCTAGACCTGCAATATAATGGACTTACAGGCTCTATACCATCATCAATCTTTAACATTACTACAATGCAAGTAATTGCTCTTACAGGCAACAATCTTACTGGAAAGCTTCCAAAAACTATATGTGACCATCTTCCAAACTTGGAAGGGCTTCACCTCACAAGCAACTCCCTAGATGGAGTTATTCCACCAAACCTTGAGAAATGCCGAAAACTTCAAATATTGTCATTGTCTTACAATGAGTTTATTGGAATTGTACCAAGAGAGCTGGCCAACTTAACAGCTCTTACAGAATTATATCTCGGAGATCTGCATTTGGAAGGTAGTATGATATTTCCTTACAAGAAAAATGAAAATTTTCTTCCTTTTCTCTCTTCCGCTAAACTGGTAACTCATATACTTCCTGAAATTGACAGGAGAGATCCCTCGAGAAATCAGTGATCTTCGTTACTTGACTATCCTAGATCTGCAATTTAATCAACTTAGTGGCTCTATACCACCATCAATCTTCAACATTACCACAATGCAAGTAATTGCTCTTACGGGCAACAATCTTACTGGAAAGCTTCCAAAAACTATATGTGACCATCTTCCAAACTTGCAAAGGCTTTACCTCTCAAAGAACTCCTTAGATGGAGTTATTCCACCAAGCCTTGAGAAATGCCGAAAACTTCAAATATTGTCATTGTCTTACAATGAGTTTATTGGAATTGTACCAAGAGAGCTGGCCAACTTAACAGCTCTTACAGAATTATATCTCAGAGCCCTGCATTTGGAAGGTAGTATGATATTTCCTTACAAGATAAATGAAAATTTTCTTCCTTTTCTCTCTTCCGCTAAACTGGTAACTCATATACTTCCTGAAATTGACAGGAGAGATCCCTCGAGAAATCAGTGATCTTCGTTACTTGACTATCCTAGATCTGCAATTTAATCAACTTAGTGGCTCTATACCACCATCAATCTTCAACATTACCACAATGCAAATCATTGATTTTACTGGCAATAATCTTACTGGTAAGCTTCCACCAAGCCTCGAGAAATGCAGAAAGCTTCAAGTCTTGGCATTGTCGCTCAATGAGTTTATAGGAACTATACCAAGAGAGATAGCCAACTTAACAGTTCTTACAGAATTATATCTCAAAGCTCTGCATTTGGAAGGTAGTATGATATTTCCTTACAAGAAAAATGAAAATTTTCTTCCTTTTCTCTCTTCCGCTAAACTGGTAACTCATATACTTCCTGAAATTGACAGGAGAGATCCCTCGAGAAATCAGTGATCTTCGTTACTTGACTATCCTAGATCTGCAATTTAATCAACTTAGTGGCTCTATACCACCATCAATCTTCAACATTACCACAATGCAAATCATTGATTTTACTGGCAATAATCTTACTGGTAAGCTTCCACCAAGCCTCGAGAAATGCAGAAAGCTTCAAGTCTTGGCATTGTCGCTCAATGAGTTTATAGGAACTATACCAAGAGAGATAGCCAACTTAACAGTTCTTACAGAATTATATCTCAAAGCTCTGCATTTGGAAGGTAGTATGATATTTCCTTACAAGAAAAATGAAAATTTTCTTCCTTTTCTCTCTTCCGCTAAACTGGTAACTCATATACTTCCTGAAATTGACAGGAGAGATCCCTCGAGAAATCAGTGATCTTCGTTACTTGACTATCCTAGATCTGCAATTTAATCAACTTAGTGGCTCTATACCACCATCAATCTTCAACATTACCACAATGCAAATCATTGATTTTACTGGCAATAATCTTACTGGTAAGCTTCCACCAAGCCTCGAGAAATGCAGAAAGCTTCAAGTCTTGGCATTGTCGCTCAATGAGTTTATAGGAACTATACCAAGAGAGATAGCCAACTTAACAGTTCTTACAGAATTATATCTCAAAGCTCTGCATTTGGAAGGTAGTATGATATTTCCTTACAAGAAAAATGAAATTTTTCTTCCTTTTCTCTCTTCCGCTAAACTGGTAACTCATATACTTCCTGAAATTGACAGGAGAGATCCCTCGAGAAATCAGTGATCTTCGTTACTTGACTATCCTAGATCTGCAATTTAATCAACTTAGTGGCTCTATACCACCATCAATCTTCAACATTACCACAATGCAAATCATTGATTTTACTGGCAATAATCTTACTGGTAAGCTTCCACCAAGCCTCGAGAAATGCAGAAAGCTTCAAGTCTTGGCATTGTCGCTCAATGAGTTTATAGGAACTATACCAAGAGAGATAGCCAACTTAACAGTTCTTACAGAATTATATCTCAAAGCTCTGCATTTGGAAGGTAGTATGATATTTCCTTACAAGAAAAATGAAATTTTTCTTCCTTTTCTCTCTTCCGCTAAACTGGTAACTCATATACTTCCTGAAATTGACAGGAGAGATCCCTCGAGAAATCAGTGATCTTCGTTACTTGACTATCCTAGATCTGCAATTTAATCAACTTAGTGGCTCTATACCACCATCAATCTTCAACATTACCACAATGCAAATCATTGATTTTACTGGCAATAATCTTACTGGTAAGCTTCCACCAAGCCTCGAGAAATGCAGAAAGCTTCAAGTCTTGGCATTGTCGCTCAATGAGTTTATAGGAACTATACCAAGAGAGATAGCCAACTTAACAGTTCTTACAGAATTATATCTCAAAGCTCTGCATTTGGAAGGTAGTATGATATTTCCTTACAAGAAAAATGAAATTTTTCTTCCTTTTCTCTCTTCCGCTAAACTGGTAACTCATATACTTCCTGAAATTGACAGGAGAGATCCCTCGAGAAATCAGTGATCTTCGTTACTTGACTATCCTAGATCTGCAATTTAATCAACTTAGTGGCTCTATACCACCATCAATCTTCAACATTACCACAATGCAAATCATTGATTTTACTGGCAATAATCTTACTGGTAAGCTTCCACCAAGCCTCGAGAAATGCAGAAAGCTTCAAGTCTTGGCATTGTCGCTCAATGAGTTTATAGGAACTATACCAAGAGAGATAGCCAACTTAACAGTTCTTACAGAATTATATCTCAAAGCTCTGCATTTGGAAGGTAGTATGATATTTCCTTACAAGAAAAATGAAATTTTTCTTCCTTTTCTCTCTTCCGCTAAACTGGTAACTCATATACTTCCTGAAATTGACAGGAGAGATCCCTCGAGAAATCAGTGATCTTCGTTACTTGACTATCCTAGATCTGCAATTTAATCAACTTAGTGGCTCTATACCACCATCAATCTTCAACATTACCACAATGCAAATCATTGATTTTACTGGCAATAATCTTACTGGTAAGCTTCCAACAACTATATGTGACCATCTTCCAAACTTGGAAGGGCTTCACCTCACAAGCAACTCCCTAGATGGAGTTATTCCACCAAGCCTCGAGAAATGCAGAAAGCTTCAAGTCTTGGCATTGTCGCTCAATGAGTTTATAGGAACTATACCAAGAGAGATAGCCAACTTAACAGTTCTTACAGAATTATATCTCAAAGCTCTGCATTTGGAAGGTAGTATGATATTTCCTTACAAGAAAAATGAAATTTTTCTTCCTTTTCTCTCTTCCGCTAAACTGGTAACTCATATACTTCCTGAAATTGACAGGAGAGATCCCTCGAGAAATCAGTGATCTTCGTTACTTGACTATCCTAGATCTGCAATTTAATCAACTTAGTGGCTCTATACCACCATCAATCTTCAACATTACCACAATGCAAATCATTACTCTTACTGACAATAATCTTACTGGTAAGCTTCCACCAAGCCTCGAGAAATGCAGAAAGCTTCAAGTCTTGGCATTGTCGCTCAATGAGTTTATAGGAACTATACCAAGAGAGATAGCCAACTTAACAGCTCTTACAGAATTATATCTCGAAACTCTGCATTTGGAAGGTAGTATGATATTTCTTTACAAGAAAAATGAAAATTTTCTTCCTTTCGGAGCTCTGCATAAGGTAAGTGTAACTCATATATTTCCCAAAATTGACAGGAGAGATACCAATGGAGCTAGGTAATCTTAAGAAACTTCAGGTACTGCAGTTAGCAGAAAATGAGCTTACTGGCTCTGTTCCTGACAGCATTTTCAACATGTCAGCACTGAAGATTATAGATTTTGGACAAAACAAGCTTTCAGGTACTCTACCTTCAGATTTAGGTCGTAGAATTCCCAACCTAGAAGTATTTCTTTGTGGAGGAAATAATCTGAGTGGTTTTATCTCTGATTCAATCACAAATTCTTCAAGACTCAGAATGTTTGACATCTCATTCAACAGTTTCACAGGTCCAATTCCTAAATCATTTGGTAACTTAGAATACCTTGAGATTCTTAACTTAGAGATGAATAATTTTATCAGTGATTCATCATTGAGCTTCCTTACATCATTAACAAACTGTAGGAAACTAAGAGCACTCCGATTTAATGAGAATGCATTGGATGGGGCATTACCAGCGTCTGTTGGTAATTTCTCAAACTCGATGCAAAATTTTCAAGGAAATGGCTGTAAGCTAAAGGGCGTCATTCCTCGAGAAATCGGTAATCTTACTGGAGTGATACATATGAGTCTGTTTAACAATAAGTTGGCTGGACATATTCCAAATACTGTCCAAGACATGTTGAACCTCCAAGAATTTTATCTACATAGCAATGAGATTAAAGGTACCATACCAAATGTTATATGCAGTTTAAAGAATCTTGGTGCATTAGACTTGTCAGGAAATCATTTTTCTGGTTCAGTGCCCTCATGCTTAGGGAATGTAACTAGTTTGAGGTATCTTAATCTAGCTTACAACAGGCTGAATTCAAGATTACCTGCAAACTTGGGGAGCCTTCAAGATCTCATTGAATTAAGTGTTTCATCCAATTCATTAAGTGGTCATATTCCTCTGGAGTTGGGAAATTTAAAGGCAGTAACACTAATTGATTTGTCAAAAAATGATTTTTCTGGTAAAATTCCTAGCACTTTAGGAGGTCTAGCTGAATTGATTAATCTTCCTCTAGCACATAATAGATTAGAGGGGCCTATTCCAGATTCATTTGGCAAATTGTTGGCATTGGAATTCTTGGATTTGTCTTATAACAATCTTAGTGGTGAAATTCCAAAGTCATTAGAAGCTCTAGTGTATCTCAAATACATGAATTTCTCATTCAATAAACTCAGTGGAGAAATTCCCATTGGTGGTCCTTTTGTAAATGTCACTAGTCAATCCTTCTTGTCCAATGATGCACTTTGTGGTGACTCCCGGTTTAACATAAAACCATGTCAAACTAAATCTACAAAGAAGTCAAGAAGAAAAAGAGTGCTTATAGGTTTATATACGCTGTTAGGGATTGGGTCGCTCTTTGTGTTGGTAGTTGGATATGTGGTGTTAAGATTGAGAAAGACAAAGAAGAATGCAAGTCAAGCAGATGTGTCTCTGGTAAAAGAACATGAAAGAATTTCCTATTATGAACTTGAACATGCAACAGAAGGATTCGACGAAAGCAACTTGCTTGGTACAGGGAGTTTTAGTGTGGTCTACAAAGGGATACTTAAGGATGGTACTCTTTTGGCAGCAAAGGTATTCAATGTGCAATTGGAGGGTGCATTTAAAAGTTTTGATACGGAATGTGAGATACTCCGGAACCTTCGCCACAGAAATCTGACCAAAGTTATTACAAGCTGTGCCAACCTTGATTTCAAGGCCCTGGTGTTGGAATACATGCCCAATGGGACACTTGATAAATGGTTATACTCCCACAACTTGTTCTTGAACTTATTACAGAGATTGGATATAATGATAGATGTTGCATCTGCAATTGACTATCTCCACAATGGCTATACAACGCCTGTGGTTCATTGTGACTTGAAGCCAAGTAATGTCTTGCTTGATCAGGAAATGGTTGGTCATGTCAGTGATTTTGGCATTGCGAAATTGCTAGGTGAAGGGGAGGCTTCTGTTCAAACAAGGACAATTTCAACCATTGGATATATTGCTCCAGGTATATTAAAACTTCTTAAAGTTTTTCTTGTTTCTCCTTTCAGTTTTGGCATATTCCATTTTAACTAGGAAGCTTTTATGATAATTTTTTAAAAATAATCGTAGAGTATGGACAAGATGGCATAGTATCCACGAGTTGTGATGTTTATAGTTTTGGCATCCTGATGATGGAGGCATTCACAAGAAGAAGACCAAGTGATGAAACATTTACCGGTGAATTGAGCATACAGCGTTGGGTTAGTGATTCCTTTCCGGGTGAAATTCATAAGGTGGTGGATTGCAATTTGGTACAGCCAGGGGATGAACAAATTGATGCAAAGATGCGATGTTTGTTATCTATCATGGAATTATCTTTGAACTGCACTTTAGTGAAACCTGATGCAAGAATTAGCATGAAAGATGCTCTTTCAACACTCAAAAAGATCAGGCTACAGCTTGTCAATAATCGGCATTAGGTGGAATCAGACTGTCTGCTCTTGTATATTATTTGATTACCTATGCCAATTAGGTTAAGATTTCAATTCTACTCAAGTGTATTTAATCAAGGTTGTAGGAAACAACTAGTTTCTTGATATATGTAGTTTTGATATACTATTATATTAGCTATTTTAGAAGTGTACTGATAAGCAGATGCATTTTGAAAAGGCCAAACCCATCGGTGGCCCTCTAAAGTTGGCACCAATTTTCACTTAGACACCTTAACTAGACTTAATTTATTTTAGACACCTTATATAAGTTTTCATTGTGTAATTTTGACACTTTTTGCAGACACGTCATAGAGTGTGTGATCCACTCATTTATTGCGCGTGAAAAGCTTTTTTAATTATTTTTTCTTCTTCTTCCCCATTTTTAGCCTCCATTTTTCAAGCTCAACTCCATCCATGGCGAATGTTTTAAAATTTTCAAAAAAGACCTATTATAAGATTTAAATATTGAAATAATCATGAAATTCTTTTTTGGAGGAATTTACTATTATAATATGGAAGTGGATTTGATTTTTCCTCTTCCTTCACTGTCCTTCAAACTTTGCTCTCACAGTAAGCGCTTTCTTATTTTTTTTTTCCAGTTAATTTTAATTATTTCTATTCAATTTTACTGTTTGTTATTGATTAAGAAGAATGCTAATCCATGACTTAGCTTTATTCTTCTATAATAAAAGAGTTGGTGCAGCGTTTCTGCAAAATAGTTATTTTGGAGAAGACAATGAGAAGGTTGCAAAATATTTTTTGTTAATTGGTTAAATGTTCTTTTAATTATGTGGGCAAAAATGCCACATTTCATCGATTCATTGACTACATTTTGTTTTTCTCAAAATTCATTATTTAAGAATGATTTTAGGCACAAATGACAAATGTCGTCATTTAATTGGACACTTTACACATCATTCGCGAGTGCATTATTACACATTTTTGCTGATTGTAAAGAAAGTGTCAAAATGACACAACAAAATCTTACATGAAGTGTCTAAAATGAACAAAGTCTAGTTTGTCTAAGTGAAAGTTAGTGTCAACTTTAGGGGGCCACCGATAGATTAGGCCTTTTGAAAATTATGTTTCTATCTTGGATATGATATACAAACTCTATACATCTAGATAGGCTTGATAGAAGAATGATTTAGGCTTCATCTGTTTGCACTTGATGAAGGTCTGAATTTGAATGGTTCAGACCTTAGAAAATTAAGATTTAAGCACTAATTTGGTCTGAATAGGTCTTAATCATTAACATCTTCAGCAAAGTTTTAATATCATTTAGAGGTATTTTTATGTAGATAATTTTCACCATCACTTTGTCCACAACCACAACCTACCATCACCATTTTTGTCATCACAACCACCGTTAGTCACCACCACCTTTGTTATCACAACCACCACTGTTGTCATCTGTTGGTACTCGCTATCGTATCGATCACCCCAACATTATAATTATATCCACTTTCAACGCCACCACCAGTATTGCAATTGCCATCACCAATGTCACCACTATCAATATTGCCACCACTGCAATCAATCCCTAATATCAACCATCTCCACCATCACAACTAGCTTCACCTCCAACTACCAACAACACCATTATCAACTACCACACGTTCCTTAGCAAGCAACACCCCCAACTACTAGCATCAACCAACTCTACCATGAAATCATCGTCACTAACCACCTCTATCATCACAATCATCTACAAAAAGTATTTCTCAGACACCAACTAATATGACCACTAGCCTTCAAGCACATTCTCTGAGGGTGCTCTTAGTTCTTGGACCAAATGGAAAGATGGCTTACACGATTAAAATAACAGAAGATAAGGTCACTCTACGTAACAACTAAAGAATAGTAAATTAAAAACAAAGGGATATATACAAAGGCCAACCAAATTTGATAACTTGTAGGCCTCATTTACATACTAAGGTTTCTATGGATGGAGTTCATAATGCACAAACTGAGACAATACGCGCATGAATGCAAGCAGATAAGAGATCTATGATTCACTATCACATAAACTAGAACACAAAATTATTACTTACAACAACCAATGTGCAGATTAATATTTCCATACAACCCAAGGTGCATTCTTTAGCATGGTTTTGCAAAAAAAGAAACTTAATGCACCAAATAAATGGAACAATTACATTTAAAAGTTTCCTCAGTGTTTGCAAAACGGGAAAAAAATTCACATTTATAGAAGGCTATATAAACTATTAGTCAAATCATTTCTTGATATCCATAGCTCTCAGACCTTTTCCGGTTTTAAACTTTAAAACAGCCTGATCAAATGTGACTCTAACGTGCTCGCAGATAAGCATTAGATCCTGGCATGAATCATTAAATACCTCTCTTGCTGGATCCCCTGCAATAGAAGACCACTAAAAGTTGCATAAAATCTTGATGTACCAAAACACAAACAGAGATCCACAACATTTCTCAGAATAGAAGGGTATAAACATATGGAAGCATAAAAAGACTATTATAAATTGTTATAAAGGATTTCCAAGCAGTCCTATCATACGATGTACAATATACCCAAGGGTGTGGCTTAGTGGTCAATAAAGTATGTTGAGAACCATGAGGGTTCAAATCCCAGCAGAGACAAAAAACAGTAAACGATTTTTTCCCATATGTCCTAGCCGAGGTGGACAGAGATACCAGTACTTGTTGCTGGTGGGAGGTGGCAGCTGATAGGTATTCCGTGGACTTAGTCGAGGTGCACTTAAACTAGCCCGGACACCACGGTTATCGAAAAAAATTATCATACTATGTACATAGGCATGTTGTAGAAATATCTAACACCACAATCTACTGCATGAACCAGATCAAATAAGCTGAAAGAAAAAGGCGATTTTTTAATGGGAAGGGCATCACAATATATTCTCCACCAAAACCAACTGGCCAGAAAGTCCAACAGCTATTTAAAAAGTCCATGATGAAAGCTTTAGCTAGTATCAAGCATGCTATGTTAATGTGGAAGCAGGATGCATATTCCCGTCATAGATAAGATAAGTTTTAAAAAAATCAAAAAATATAAGGTTTTCTTTTTGTACAAGTTGTAGAAATATCTACATATTTAAGCTTTACCAGTAGTCTGAACTCTTATATTCACTCGAGCATCAGAGGGATGTGGAATGCTGTAGCCACAAAATGTTACTCTGGGACTGCAAGAAAATAGACATAAGTTAATCATTGCCCTAAGTTTGTTTCATAAACCACTCTTAAGAAAAAAGAGAGAGGGGGAGGGGGGTGGGGAGTGGCAGACAGATCATGCAACAACATAAACATAAGATCAGTGGAATGTAACAAAATGAGATAAGGAGGCTATCTACATGACGAGTTGAGTAATAATCTTCAAGCAAAATTCTAGAAGATGGTTTATATTAGTCAGGGCCGACTCAACAAGATCGGGGGCCTAAAGCCAAACCTTCAAGAGATGCCCTAATATTTTGAGAAGTATTTTGTTTCTTTAATCTTTTTAATAATTTTATTCTTGACTTCACTTGCCAATAATTTTAATAATTCACTTTGAATACTCTCAATTTTGTATCTACATTATTCCATTGACTTGGATCATATATATTTTTAGGGATGCAACTATTTAAATTATTTAGGAGTTCTTGATATCGGGAACAATGTCACATTTTCACCAACTTCTTCTAGATTTTCTTCTTGAATATTATTATCATCTAACTCAATTCTATTGGTGACTTGTTCATTTGAAGAACATCCTCCAATATTTTTTATTCAAAATTTTTATTATTTGTTAAAAATCTATCAAGGGCTCTTTTTTAAGATTTATTTAATTCTTCAAGTTTTCTCTCTTTTTGCAAAATCGGTATCATGTTTTCTAGTTGACATATTGAAATTGAATAAATTTTAATACAATTTACATATACTTATGAACTAAGAATATCAACAATAACAATTTTTCAAGAAAAACTCTAAAACCCCCTTACACGTTTTTTTTCTTTCAAAAAATTAATATAATTTTTTTAATAATATGTACAAGTACTTTTTTTCTAAAAAATGGGGGCCCAAAAAATATGGGCCCACAAGCGATGGCTTTAGTGGCCTAGTGGTTAAGACGGCCCTGATATTAGTACTTGCAGTGATCACTGCATAATGAAAGAAGAAAGGAAAGAGGAAGAGATGAATTACTAACTCTTGATTTAGAGTGAATCTAACAGCATTTGCCAGTGTATGGTCCTCATCTGTAAGCGAGAATGTTGCTTTTGACTGATCTTCGAATGAACCGTGCTCCATTGACTGTTTCCAGAAATGAGGATAATTTGAAAATAATTAGCAAATTTTTGAAATTTCGAATGTAATGTAATCTATGGATTGAAAAAGAAGAAAAGAACCATATAAGAAGTGAGACAAGAGTTGTCAAATGGTAAGAAAGCAATTTCACCTAACACATGTTTCTCCTGATTAGTGCTTTCAGTGAACTATTACCTAAAGAGCAAACCATATTGTACTACAATAAGAAACAGTCAAAACCCTAAGGACCTTAATTATGTGATCCAATGTTTTACAATACCAAAGCATAATCAACTATGAATGTTTAACCAGTGTTGTCAGAGGTGCAAAACATGTTGAGTGTTTCGCCTCGCTTAACATGTGGTGTCGTCACGAAGCTTCTAAGACATACTTTTCAATTTCTTTGTTTATATACTTTCGGTTCATGCTTATAAGTATTAGACTTCATGCCTAGTCAAACACCTTCACATAAATTGAGACTTTATGCCTAGTCAAACACCTTCACACAAATTGAGACAGAGGGAGTACTACTTTTCAAACAATGACTAAGATCTCATAGCAGGCCCAAAAGCTGGTCGTATCACCTAATTTTCCAGAATTAATGCATTATCCCTAACATGTTTTCATGCTTTCAGATCTTAAGTATATCTCTTAGCCAATATCTATTTTTTCTATTTCATGAAATTAACCAGACTACACATACATATTTGTATGTTTTCTCCATTTGTGCATTTCTTCATTAAAGGTCACGTTTTCTTTGCGCTTTGCACTTAAAGCCCCAATAGACCTTAGAGGCGTTTTGCGGTTGTCTCCTTTGAGTCAACTAGTCAGAGGTACTGTTTTCTAGCTTTGCTTCATATCTAAAAACATTCAACAGAGGTCCAAATGGATGAAAAAAACATGAAAAAGTGCCCAAAGAAAGGTAACTTTAGGAAACAAGTAACCACAGATAAAATAGCAATAGAAGCAAATGTATGTCTCAGAGTTCCTTGGCCAGTGACACACTATTTTGGAGGCAATGGGGCATATTGCTTCTTGCCACTGCATGACTCACATGGGAAGCAAATAAGAAAAATACTATCCGGTTAAATTCAGAAGACATAATATCAATGGGGTGTCATATATAGAAGGATCTATCATATCAAAGTTGAGGTCTTGAAGATTAGGATAGAAGGCTAGCAAGTAGTTGGATGTTGTCACATTCTGTGTGGGAGAGAGAGTGGGCTAGCCTCCCCCTCTCCTTTTGTCCTTTTAGTAGTATTATTTAGTTATCACATAGCTTCTTGTTCTTCAATGTGTATTACTATTTCCTGTTGCATTTGTTTTGTATTTTGCTACTTCGCTAGCTCTTTTCTTATAATCCTACATCGGATACTTTCCTTTTGAGCCAAGGTTCTATTGAAAATAGTTTCTCTACCACACAAAGGTAGGGTAACGTTCGCATACATCATACCCTCTCAAAACCCCACTAGTGGGATTACACTAGGTATGTTGTTGTTGGAAAGAGGGGGAGCAAGTTAGCTGCGGAGGAGTATTAACACAATTTTGAGGTTTAAAAGCAATTGAAATTTAAGTTTTGATTTGTTCAATTTTCAGCCAAACCACTAGAGTTTATTTCAATCTGGCCAAGGTCCTTCCATTTAACTGAGCACCAAGGATATTTTTTGATTGGTAAAAGTGTAAAGCATATCACATCTAATATAAGTACAAATTTCAAAAGAGACTATACGGGGTAGTTTGGTAGTTGGTTAGAGTTATGCAAATATTTTTAATCTAGGGATTAGTTACGATGGAATCTATGTATTATCTTATGTAGGAATTAGTTATTCATGTATTAGCTTATATATGTATAACTTGTATATATATTAGTTATGTGGCTTTCTAAATTGAAAATCAAACACCGTATTAATTTAATACATGAATAACTTACCAACTAATCAGGCTACCAAACGTGGTATTACCTATATAGGAATGGATAACTCACCTCCAAACAAACTACCAAACGACCCCTAATTGTTCTATGTAAATATATTTAACCATAGTCTATGGTGTCATCAATAGTCCCATTACATTGTAGAACGCAAAATGCAAAGTTTAGCTTTTTCAACAATGATAATTCCGTGTCAAGCCTACTTACCCTTGTGTTTTCAGATACAAAAATCAACGAAACCAACTATGATTCTCTCAAACTCTTTTTTAAATCCTTTGAATTACCAATTATGTAGTCTCCAAAAATGTAAATTTTACTCTAAAACAACTTAAAGAATCTATGCCCCAATAGACACAAACAAAAATATAAGATGCTTTGACCCATTCACCTAAATTTGGACAAAAGAAGTAGTAGCACATAATTTCACCCACTTAACTAAGATTGTGAAATATAATAAAGAAACTTGAATCTTTTGAGCAAAAAGGAATTTTTTTAGATGAAAATAAACACTTAGAACAAAAGGGTACCTTAATTCAAGGCCAAAGATGTAAACTTTGCTGCTCCACCACAAGCAAAAGCTTGAAATTTTGTTGGAAAAAAAAAAGAAAATCTAACAGAGAAGTGATGGCAAAAGGGCCCAAGAGGAGAAGCGAGAGAGGAAAAATAGCTGAGGGTTTTAAGAGGGTTTGGCTGTTTGGGCAAAGGACCTAGGTTTAATCTCATTTAAGTTATTTCATTTTTATATTATATTAATTTTGTTAAAGTGAATAGTTTTAATTCAACCGAAATAGATTATTTGTTTAGTCTCTCCTAAAATCACATTATTTTAAAAAGTGTTTTTATAACGAGCAGTTTATATTTGATCAATAAATTTAATATTTTTGAGCAGCAAGTAGTGTTTGACAATATTTTGAAAAAGGCTGCAATTTGTTTTATCTTATGATAAAATTATTTTTGCTTTGGTTAAACACCTTATTCTTTTAAAAATAAGTACTTTAAAAAAGAAAATAGGTCTCACAAAAACTTAGCCAAACAACTACATATTAAATGATAATTATTATTTCATATATCCTAATTTATGTGATGAAATTTAATTAGACATAGAATTTCAGAAATATGTGAGACTTTGTACTATCTCAAAATTACTCTTTAATTAAAATAAATTTTTAAATAGAAAAGTTAATCTTTATAAAAAAAAATTGCTAATTAAGTGAGACGCAATAGGATCAAAAAGTTGATATAATAAAATATTTGTTAAATAAAAGATGCATCATTTTTTATGGACTAAATGAAATAGAGAAAGTACTTATTAAACTCCACTAACTGATACAGACTTTACATTAACTTTTAGCATAAATTTATCTTAATTTATGTAACAAATATTTTGTTATGATATTTGAAGTTAAATTTTAAAAATGATATGTAAAAATAAAATTTTATCTGAACATGCATTTAGCTCTTGAATTATATTTTTCCAAATTTAATGTAAAAAATTGACACAATATCTTTTTTAGGAAAAAAAAAAGTAACTTACAAAAATGACTATAGTTGTAGGGTTATTGAAGTTCAATAGCTATAAGTATGCTATTTATAAAAAATGACTATATTTTATGTCTTAATCTTGTTGTATATTTGTATTTTTTTTTCAATTTTTTTATTTATACAATGATACAATTATAATTACAATGCACTAAATAAGGTAATCTCTTGTTATAGTGACTGAATGCCCCCTAATTATGTTTCTAAAACTCTCAACTTCCCATAATTAAATTAAAAACTAATGATTACGTCCCTATCCGCTTGGATTCCAACTAATAATTAATAACTAATATTAAATTAACAACTAATTTTACCTTATGAATACACCTATATCATATAGGAGTGCCAATGTTAATAAACAAAATTTAGATACAGTGAACAATCCAGAATTAAGAAAATGGAAAATAATACAATGTGAGTATATAAGTATTTGACTATATAAAAAATTGAAACGCCAACAAAACTCAATCTTTTTTTCTCATGTTTGCTATTTTTTTACAATATATATATATAATTGATAACTCAAGTATTTGTTTATACAAAAATAATGTAATTATATATCAAAATATACTTGTATTACCTGGTCAACCTTTCAACTTGTGTTAATATTTCAATATATTGGGACAATCCAAAAAAAAATGACAAGTGGATATAATACAATACAAGTATCCAAATATATAAGTATTTCACTATATAAAATAATAAAAATCAGACAATCCTCAAACTCTTTTTTGCTCACGTTCTTCATGTAATACATTCAACCTTTCAACAAGATGTATACAAATACAAATTTCATATAAACGAGAAAAAAATGCAAATAGAAGATATTTGAGGAAGATATGTCACAAAAATTGCTCATGAAAATCAAGTAAAGAATTGTGAATTGGAAGGAAATTGGAGAAAAAAATGGTGATTTGGTGATATTGAAAGAGAAAATAGCAAAGAGGGTAAACATGGGGAGTAAAGCACCGTAAAGCATGTTTGACTGGTATTAATTAGGCATGTAAAATTATCTTTGCTTTTTAATGAATATTTATATCCATATATAATTTATTTATTTAAAAAAAAAACAGATTATGAGTCTAATACTAACTTTGCTATTTAACATTTAGTTATATCCATAAAACATAAAAAGAATGAGCTATAGTCATTTACCTTAAATATATATTGATGTTTGCTATATTATGTAGTTTTTCCAAAATATTGAGAAAAAAACAAGTACCATCTTTTTGTCCCAAGAACCATAACGTTCGGGTCGGGTCTTGTCGGTCGGGTTGTACCATCCAAACTTCCCTTTTCACTTGGAAGAAAAACCCTAACTAAACCCTAATAAGCCAAACATCATTTCTTCTCCCCCTCTCTTTGAAATACGAAAAAAGAGCAGAAAGATAATTTTATCGGTAAATTTCTTCACTTGTTTTTTATCATGCTTGTTTCAATATGAATGTAATTATGTTTGTGAAGAGGGTTCAATTGAATCCTTTTTGTTGGAAAGTTACTTGGTATAGTTAGCATAAAGACTAATTTTTTATGTGAATATACTAATTGTTGAATCTTTCCCTTGATTCAGGTCAGTGTATATTGTAACCCCATATTCTATTTTGTGAGATTATATGTTGTATTAATTGTTGAATCTTGTGGGATTACACTGGGTATGTTGTTGTTGTTTATATTGATTGTTGAATCCCATTGGTGTAGTTGTGTGTATTTGCTCATTATGGAAGTTTGAATTTTTTTGAATCCTCCTAATAGAATTTTCTTGGCTCAGCCATTGTTAAATGTATGCTTAGACACATGGAGTTCAAGGCAGTGTGTGCATTTAAACTTGCTACTCATGTAGCAGATTCACTGCCAAGGGCATAATGGTATGACGATTGGAAGTCATCCTTCTGTACAAACACACTCAAACAGCATTGAGTTGAAGCCCGGAAGGCAGTGGGTGCAGTAGCTATTGGTACACACAATAGAGTAGATTCGTTGCACAGATTTTAACATCATCCTCACATTTCTCTGCTTTACTAGGATAAAGTTCTTTTAGCATATTTTCCCTCCCCCAGGTCTGCCTAGTGGTAAGACTGTAGCTTGTGAAATGTGGGTTAGGTGTATGTCACGCGTTTGAACCTTGCTGAAGAAAGCCTTGTATTTAAGTGGAGAAGGGCAGAGGGGTGAGCCCATTATCCCTCGAGTTTTAAACTAAATATCACTAGCCCTCAGACATTTCTCGGTTTAAAAAAAAAACAAAGTATTTTCTGTTTATTTTGCATTGAGATCAGACCTGTAACTAGACTTTTTGATCCAAGTGTTGTTTTTTGTCTCATAGATCCATAGAGATGGCTGCTAATAACCTACCAGCATAAATTGACAAGGAGAATGTTGTTTACTTTTGTGATGTGCTTATCATTTTAGTCATTGATTATCTGTAAGGAATAGTTCTTTCTGTATGTATGGTCATCACTCATTTGTTAGTAATTCTTGCCTTCCAAGTTTCTAGATATTTGCATTCTATGTGAGACGTTGAATCTGAAACTTTTCAAGCTGAACTTTTCTGGGTTATCTTACACCCCCTCCTCCTATTTCTATATGTATGCATTGTCCAATAAATGTGACATTTGGTGAATTTATCCCTCTTCCAAAAAGGGGGTGAATCCTTCTCATCAGACTAGCCTTGGTTGGTAGGATTATGTGGTACCTATGCTAGTTGCACGTATCCAGCGGGTTAGTCGAGATACTAGCAAGATGTGTCCGGATATTTCTGCCATAAAGGAACAAAAATTAAGATAGAACTCTCATACGATAGGGTAACTGGAGGTATGGTGAACAGGTAGGAATATATGGTGAATGTTGCATCCTGTCAGTAATATGTTTTTTGCATTTTTCCTATTTTATCTTTTGTGTTTGCAGTTTTGGAATGTCAAAGTGCTTAAATTTTACTTCTAAACATATGTGTTTGAAGTATTTCACTTTGTAAATTGCGAACATATTGTTTGGGATTGAGGAGTTAATGATTGATTGATTTCTTATTTACAAACATCTTTTTGCATGTTGGTAGTAACACGTACCAAGAGATTTTATCATTTTAACAATCTAATCCCCCCTTAGCATTGTGATATGTGCTCATTGATTATGTGTATTGCCTCTCTATCTCAATGAGGTAGTGGTAAGGTCTGCCTACATTCTACCCTCCCCAGACCTCACTTGTGGGATTTCACTGGGTATGTTGTTGTTGTTGATTATGTGTATTGCACAATGTGAACTTTTTTACAAATATAGGCAAAAATATACCTGACTTTAGGAGAGAACAAACATTAACCAGCTCTTCCCCTCCATTGTTTTTGTCAAAATTGGAAGACAAGTTCAAAATGATCTAGTTAGTGAGTTTGCTTTTGCCTATATAGAGTCGAGTGATACCTATATTACTTTCTCCAGTTATGTTATTACATTTTACTATAGTTTATTTTGAAGGTTCATACTTTTTAAAAGCTTTCAATAAGCTTATGTTTTATCAAACTGTACTACACCTTGCCTGAAATTATTGAGAGTCTGATTTGAATCGGTTTGAAGTCAACTTACACTTTACTGTAATATAGGCCAGATTTTTTGGCTAGGTCAGCTGTCTTGTTGGTTTTGGCCTATTGGGTTTAAAGAGCCTTTGGAGTCTGTAATACCATCATAATACTTCCAATTTGATATAGCTCAATTTTAGTGGAGAGTTTTAATTATATTTAATGATGTGTTACAATGACTAAAATCCGTGGTGTTCTACTGTTTTTTCTGTATTATCATTAAATGAAGACATCTCTTGGACTCACCTACCGGGGAATTTTTTCTTTTCAGAAGCTGATGGCTGGAAAATCAGGGTCAACGCCAACGACATATTCACCGTCTCCAGCAACGCGCAAGAAGAAGAGAATCCCCATTGCTGATGCTGATTGGGTTCGTCCTGATAATCGTGGCTTCTATCAGTGCCGTCCTGCTTATCTGAGGACTGGTGCTGTGAGTACAGCTGCAGGATCAGCATATGCAGAGTTTGGAAACACCAAGGTAATCGTATCTGTGTTTGGGCCAAGGGAAAGTAAAAAGGCAATGATGTACAGTGATACAGGACGCTTGAATTGTAATGTTAGTTACACAAGTTTTGCCTCCCCTAATCGTGGGCAGGGATCCGACAACAAGGAACTTTCTTCAATGTTACACAAAGCTTTAGAGGGTGTTATAATTCTGGATTCCTTCCCAAAAACTTGTGTGGATGTTTTTGCTTTGGTATTGGAATCTGGTGGAAGTGATCTCCCCGTGGTCATATCATGTGCTAGTCTAGCTTTAGCAGATGCAGGAATTTTGCTATATGACTTGGTTGCCTCAGTTTCTGTATCTTGTATTGGAAAGAACTTTGTCATTGATCCCATTTCCGAGGAAGAAAGCTACCAAGATGGAAGCTTAATGATAACTTGTATGCCTTCGCGTAATGAGGTCACTCAACTGATTGTATCTGGAGGATGGTCAACACCAAAGATTAACGAGGCAATGGAGCTATGTCTTGGTGCTTGCTCCAAACTGGGAGAGGTTATGAGATCGTGTTTAAAAGATGTTGTCACTGATTTAAAAGAATAGAGCATTCTACTTTGTGCCTTAGCGTAATTAAGTCTCTACGCTTGTTTTTGTCATCTCAAAAAGTGGAAGTTCTTTAGGTGTCATACATCCTTGTAGAAAAAAAGTTGGCATGATCTACCCATCACTAGCTGCAACAGCCAGCCCAATCAAGTTGTGATCTGCTTGTAGTATATATGTGCTTGATTGTGAAACTTGCAAGTTGTGTGACATGAAACATGCAAATGTTTGGATTAAAACTTATGTGAACCAAAACAAGTAACCTTTTTTGAACATTTAAATTCCAGTTATTATACAAGAAGTTGTTCATTCATTCTATTTGAAGCACCAGATCTCCACATAGCTTACTACTTTGGTAATGAAAAAACATACAAAGGGATATGAGCTAAACATATAAGAAGCAGTGTCATATTGAAAATTCAGTAGTTAACACAGTTGATTGCAACAGCCATAGATAGTAGCATAATTGCCCGATACGTATGATGATGGGAAGTAACATATACTCAGTGGAATAGTCGAGATGAGCTTAAGAACACACTGTTATCAAAGAAAACATTTAGATGCTAACACAATTGCAACAGCCATGAGAGATTTGTACAGAGTTTTCAAGGATGGTATACAACAGAATGTTACTGCTTCATCGACATACTTCTATACATACTTACATATGTACACTAAATGGGAAGAACTTTAAAATTCATCAAGCTGTTTGATGAACAAAACTATCTTCTATTCTAGTCAACAATCATCATCACAAACAGGATCGAGAAGTTAATGGCTGACACCCTACTAATCATGGACACGTTTACAGCATGGCCTATACCATATACCAGATCACTTTTCATAAACCCGTTAGCTGCCTAGATGTAGCTCAATAGTAGAAATTTCTGGGGATTGGAGCTGTTAATGTTGTGAGTTAAGAAAACATTTATGCAAGTCCTAAGCCCAGATAGAGGAGGAGAGTTGCAGTAGATTGACAACCGGTGTACTAGCTAGTTAAGTTCGTTGAATCCTCACAATACAAACCACGTTGCCAGGACGATCTTCAGAAGCATCTAAGGCAATATATTGAAGTGAAAAAGCCATGAGATGACAAAGGCAAAAACCATGGATGCAAGTAGAAAATTCATGACACGGCGCCCATGCCAAAAGCCTCGGGTTTCAGAAAGGGCTACAGGTGCTGCGGATGCTGCAAGAGGGGCTACTGAAGCATTATTGGCTTCATTTGTCTGCTCTCCAGCAATGTTCAGTGCATTGGTACCACAGATTTCACAAATTCTGAATCATAGAATACAGTGAATTAGCATAATTGAAGGCACATATTGAGGAATTAATGCACACACACAAAAAAAATAATTAAATGATCACTCCATAAACTTAACCAGAACAGGAACAAACCACACCACCGAACACCTAACAACTTCAGGTTCATAAATTACAATGTCATTGGAGATTTCTGTGGATGTACCATTGTCGGAGGGACAACTGAAAGAGGTAAAAAGTAACGGAGAGGATGTAATATGAAAAGGGTATCAAGAAAATGGTGCCATGGCAATTCCAGTAACACCAAGGTGGCCCAGAATACCTCATATTCATCAAACGAACAGATATTATGGGAAACAGATCACGAGCAGATTATAAGAATTGCTTAAACATAAAAATTACCCCTATCATGCAAGTGTGATAGATGATTAACCACTCAATCAAATAAGCCTAACTAATCGGGGTGGGCTCTATAAATCCTTTATATTCATTGCACTCTATTCAGGTGAATCGTACACTTACATACAAGCAGAAGCAAATGCATCATGTGTAATTTACAAGTTCAGCTAAAACTAGCATCTGTTATGTTATATATATACATGAAAAGCCTATAATAGCAAAAGTGCATTGGGTTTTCAGGTGATAACCTAAAGTTTGAAACCATCAAATTTAAATTCTATATTCACCTCTGCATGTAAAAACTTACCCGCACCGCAGTATTTACTCCAAACCAATAGATGCATGATGTGTTTGCATGTAAACTTTTAGCACTTAATCATGGTTAATTAACATATACTCTCACCTTATTAAATCATAAACCAATAACCATAGTAAATTTAAGATGCTTTATTGTAAGCACTAGGTGCGGGTAAGTATTTACCGCCTTTGCACACAAATCTCCAGCAAATCGAAATAACTACTTAACAAACACAACATCAATGAAGTGGCCTGAGAATGCTGAGATCTCAAATTCAGTCCCAATGGTGGCAAAAACTGTATTCTTCCAACAATAGAGTCACCTGCAACTTGTGCTGGAGGGAGGTAGCAGGTACCTCGTGAATTAAAATTAGCTAGGTGCACGCAAGTTAATCAGACACCAACAACAACAAACGCAATGTAATCCCACGGGTCTGGGGAGGGTGATGTGTACGCAGACCTTATCCCTAAAGGTACATAGATTGTTTCCTATAGATGCTCGGCTCAAGTAAGACATTTTAAAGCAAATTTGAAAAGTAAATACAACAAGTTGATTCGGACTCCACGATTATAATTGATGAAATAGGGGGATCGTACTCACGTGTTTCCCTTGGTTTTGAACCAAGTCTCAGCACATTGTTTGTGAGCAGCACCCAAGTCACCTTTGCAAGAACATCCCAATTCAATAGCCATCCCTCCTGAAGCCTCTTGCACTTGATCTCCACCACTACTAATCCCTCCACTTCTTAACAAACTCAAATGACAAATCCTACAGTCCTTCTCTTCTTTATTATGCAACTTCATCTCCAATTCACCACACTCCAAATCAATCTCATCATCTGACAAAGAATTATACCCTCTTTGCTTGTTGTCCCTCCTCAGTGGCTGCTGATCACAATATACTGAAACATCATCCATAGAGCCTAAAGGTGAGTGCCAAGATTGGTCAGAATCAGAATCAGTGAAGTGGAAACTCCCATCAGTTGTGGTTGTCTCACTGCTCGCCGCCATGGATGGCCTCCCGCGGCGGCGATGACGGCCGGAACCACCATTTCCCTCTGTGTCAGCTTTATTAGCTCCAAGATTAGGCATTTTTCAACCAAAAAACTGTCTTTCAGTTCACAGATTGAGAAAAAAGATGAAGCAGTTGAAGAATTTAAGAAAAATCATCTAAATTCAAGATGAGAAGTGTTAAAAATTGAAACTTTCCAGTACCCATTACCCAAAAAACTGTCTTTCAGTTCACAGATTGAGTAAACAGGGACAAATTGTAGCATTCTTGAGGTTCTGCGTTAAAAGTTTGACACTTTTTCAGAACCCCTTATCAAAAATAAATTGTCTTTCAGCACAAAATGAGAAAAAGATGGAACTTTTGAAGCATTTCAAGAAACTCTTTTGAGCTTAAAGGAAATGGCTTCAAGTAACTGCTTCTTAGCTCATAAATTGAGGGAAAAAGAGAAGCTGATTATCAGATCAGAGGCTGAGGAAAAGAGGGAAAAAATTGAAGGATTTTAAAGGAGTTGGTAAAAAGTTGATGATGAGAAGCATGGCTGAAATGGTGGAAAGGTTGTGTTTTGAGTATGTTGGAGTAATTCTTGTCTTTGTTTGTTATCTTTGCTTTTTTCTAAAAGTAGAGAGTAATTGTGACTTGCAATGACAGTGGAGTAGAGTTTCTTTTTTTTCTTGTGGAGCACAAGGGACACAATGACAAGGGAGAGGACCCCATTTTCATCTTCTTAGTGAAAAGAATAGCCAAAAGTGTCTTCTCAAACTTAAGTACATGTTTGGATGAAATAATTGTTTCGATATACTCCGTCCGTCCAAATTTATGTGATGTAGTTTTGACTTGACATGTAGTTTAAGAAAGAAAGTAAACTTTTGAAACTTATGGTCTAAAATAAGTTACAAATATTTGTGCGAGTATAATTCATTCCACTAAGGGTAAAATTAATATTTTGAAGTTAAATTGATACTAAATATAGAAATGTGTTTTTTAGACTGGTTAAAAAAAGGTGAGTCATATAAACTAGGGCAAAGAGAATGATATTTTTCTTGATTTTGGTTGTTGAAAATTGGATAACTAAGATACATTCTGTCAAACTATTGGTACTTCTTTTATTTCAGTTTATGTGATTTTATTTTTTTATATATATTTTGTCATACTATTGGTGCCTTTTTTATTTCGGTTTATGTGGCATTTTCTTGCTAGCTTTTTTCTAAAAGAAAAATGCATTTATATACTTATAATTATAGAAGTGAAATCACAATTTAAATTTTATAATTTTTAATTAAAAAAATAAATTATATAAATTGAGATAGAGAAAATATGATTAATACCGAACTCATGAAAAAATAATCTAGACATGGGAGACCTAACTTGAAGTCGATCAAGGTTAGGCAAAGAATAAAGGTCACCTTAAGAAGGGTTTCCAACCTAAAACCATAAATAATTGAAAAATTTTAAACGAGCATAGAGATTTGAAGTTTCAATTGATTTTTTCAATAAGATTCTTAATAAGATAGTAACAAGCGCATTATGAATCTGATAAACATCTATTTGTCATTCAAAGAGCGAAGATATTACAAGTGTTTGAGTCTTCACTAATAGATTAAACAAGCTATTAGGCAAACATCTTCAACTCTTTAAACTATAAAATAAAAAAAATAATTTTGGCTTTCTAAAAATTGGCCTAACAAGCTATTAATTTTAGTTATGTATTTCACTTCATTTGGTAGCTTTTTTTATTTTGTTAAAGTTATTAGTGAATACTTTTATTTTCAATCAAAATAAATGTGATTTAGATAATTATTAAACTCGTATAAATAATTAAATTACTACAAGCACTTCTATCACTTTAAGCATTTTTTGTATTGATATAATTTATATCACAATATTTATCTAAATTATATATAAATAATTTTAAATAATATATCATATCTACATATGAACACAATAAAAATAAAATAAAAAACTTACTTATTTTTCATGAAAAACATTTCCCCCTAATAAACAAACCCAATGTTTCAATATTTTTCTCAGCAATTTCTCCTTAATTATTGGGAAAAAACGTAAACGGGTCAAGTACAAATATCATTCGGGTCGGGTCAGGTCAATTTGTACCCTCCAAACTCCCCCTAAGAAAAACCCTAGTTAAACCCTAATATACCAAACATCCTTCCTTCTCCCCCTCTCTGAAATACGAAAAAGAGCAGAAGATAATTTATCGGTAAATTTCGTCACTTTTTTTTATTTTTTGATTCATGCTTGTTTCAACATGAACATATACATTCGTAATTCTGCAAATTTAGAATTTTTAAATTTGTAAAATATCACCATATGCAATGTTTTGTGTA